AATGTGCATATGAGAAGGTCAACAACAATTTGCATACCATTTCTACCATCATGTCTCTACCCTAAGTGAGATACATTATAATTATCATTCTTTAGCTAAGAATAGGGAGTTAACACTCAGAAAATTCTACTAACTCTTGAGAAATAAGTGAAAATCGAGAGGTTTAAGAGAGAAAACCAAGTTCAAGCAAGGAACTCAAGATCCCGAGCAACCTAGTCCTTCTTTCTACTCATTCTCATTTTTTTTGAAAGAGGTAAGATGCCAAATCTTTAGAATGACATTTAGATGATATTAAGTGTATAATGATGTATTTATATGCCCTAGATGTTCATTTTATAAGTGTTTATAAGCATGCAATATGATAATGGTATTTCCAACTCGCATGATAAATCTAGTTTGTATGGTCTCTGTTTTACCTCGTTTTTGGCCCTCAGAAACTCATTATCTAAATTTGGATTCTTCATATGAAATGAATTTAGTTTTGTTGTATTTCTCTAGGCTTTAGAATCATCTAATTCCGATTTGAAACGAAGAAGTTATGATTTTTATAAAATTGTCGCGCAAGCAGTTTTTATTAAAACCCGGCAGCAATGTGTGAAATGTCTGACCTGTTTATCATGTATTAATGTGCTCAAATTAATTTTTCATTTTCATGAAAGTTATAGATCTGTTGCCTAGCTTTCTAATAAGATAAGACTCATGCTGATATGATGTTTGTAACTCGAGTTATGTTCTATTGAATAAAAATATGTATGAGTCGAGTGTTGAACTGTTGGCAAAAAAATGATTCTAAATTTTAGTAGCTTTTACACCATATTAATGATCTTATCTGCTCTTGTGTTATAAATGAATGTTGTAGTCTTATTTCTTAGCTTTCTGAGCGTTCAAGAATCCTGTCATTTGGAAGTCTGTAGCATGAGTTAGATGACAAATACTGAGGTGTTGTTTATATCAAAATTTAGTCTCTGGCAGATTTTGTGAATCAAATGTTTTGTGTTTAAACTCATTGATAATGTCATTATTTGTCATTGTGATCTTCAACAAAGTTGTAAATATTTAAGTTATCTTCCATTTGGTTTTCGAATCATATTAGAAACATTTTTGTAGCTCCAGTTATCTAGAAATTACTGAAGTCTAGTCAGTTGCATGTTCTCAATTTTTGACTGCTATTCAGTTCTAAGTGTTTGGTGATTTATCTCCTAGTTAATGGCCTTATTTGATGTCGATGTCTTCATAAGAATTGTATAGGCATGTCTTAGGGTTCAAATTCAACTAGAATCATGATTATATGATATATGTGCTGCCAGTTGTGTTGATTTCAAAACCGCTGCGCGGGTTAAGTTTTGGAAATCTCGTGTTGTACCTTTGAAATTGGGTTTTACTTGTTAAATGCATGCCTATATGACTCAGATGTGCTGAGTGGAATCCATATATGTTGCTATAAGTTGTTCGTGTGTTGGATAGTCATTTATAGGATTATTTTTAATATATGTAGGTGTTTGACGAGCAGAGATCGCTACCTACATGTGTTTTGTGTTATCTCTTGTTTTCGACCAGGTGGGTACAATTGTTGTATCTATACTTATCGCATTTCACTATTTCGTACAAATGTTTGTTTCGATAACTTTAGTATGCCTGAGAACCCTAATCTAGTGTGTTACACCATCAGGGTCGTCTTACCTTTAGTGCCTTTGATGAATGCATAAACAGTGAGAGGTCGCTGAACCGTTTGCCGAGTTGGGAGGTGACGCCCTGAACCATTTGCCTAGTCGGGAAGGGAAAAACAGCTTCACTGTCTCCCGGAAAGGATCCCTTTGCCTATGTCGAGCTAGGGAGGGAAGGATTCCGGTTATTTCCTTGTCGATGTCTGATCAGAAGGTTGTTGTATGTACATAGGAGGTTTGCGATAGGGCCATATAGGGAGATAGACCTGGATTCTCTGCATACTCTATTTTTAATTTTGGATCTTTATGCGAGATAGACTTATGCGATATTGGTGAGCATGGTGGTTTTGCTCACCCCCATTGTTTGTTTTGCCCTCTTGTTTCCTCTTCCTATCTTTAGGTTGAGCAATGTTGGCGGCGGCAGCGAGAGACGAGCAAGTGGTGGTCATTGGATCGTCATGTCTTTGCTTCCGCATTATTTATTTGTGTTGGATTGTTAGTTATGGATTATGATGCTTCCGCTTAAACTTTCTGTCCATCATGTTGATGGGATCATGTTGAAATCTCTTGAATTTGGTTTTGAAACTTATTATAACTTGGTTTGATTATTATGTTGTTAGAGATGCATGTGTAGGTTCTTGTGGTTGGACTTAATTGTTATTTTTTTTAGTAGTCAAGTAGCACCCGTTGATATATAAAGTTTTTAAATTGAGATTTTGCGAAAAATTGACTCTGATTTTTATAAATAAATTCGATAAACTCTTTAAAATAAAACGGGGCGTTACATATGGGGTCCGACAATTCTGAATAGTAGAGTGTGGGGGGACCCCGTATTACTGGGAACAAAAAATAAAATGAAATAAAAGGAAAACAAGGGGGAATTCGAACTGATACTAAGAGAATAAAATGAAAATAATTATGAAAACTAAACCTAATTTCAAATAATGGAAAATAAATTAACAACTCAATTTCGTTACTCCTCGGCAACTGTGCCAATATTTGACCGCGCGTCGCGACGCGGTCAAATTATAATAAATAATTTTCCTTATTTAACTTCTACCAACTAGCAGTAGTAGTGACTAAGGGTCGAACCCATAGGGAGTGTGGAATTTTATTGCTATTATTTTCTTTAATTGAAAGTACGAAAACACAAATAAAAAGGGGGGATTTTTGTATGAATTAATTAACTAGTAAAATTATGAATAATGGAATGAAACAAATGCAATAAAGATGATTAATCAAATAAATGGAGAAGTTTCTAGTCCACGGTTCCGTCTACACCTTGATTGACTCGTCTAATCAATTTTTAGTATCAAATCTCGATATCTTATGGAATTACTAGCCCTAGGTAACGATACGGTCTGTTAGCCGAAATTTTTCCTTATTTTTAATCTAACTGCGAGACGCTTTACGATTAGACCTGACTACTTGTACAATCCAGAAAGACGCTTTCAAGATTTAATACAAATAGTCGCTTTACGAATTAGAAAAATAGGCAGACTAAGTACTGACGTGTTTGTTCACTTAAATAGGCCGTGTTATCCCCGGTAGTAACCGTCTTCCAGTAGCCTCTTATGAATTGAACACTTCAACAATTACGGATTAAAGGTCTAATTCAATTGTAGATATGAAAAACCTAATCTAGGTTATCAATCTAAATAAAACTCAACATATCATGGTTAATTATTCAAAATAACACGAACAATTCCAAAAAGATATTGAAATTATCAACCGTATAAAATCAATCCAACATCATCAATCATAGGGTTCGACTTTCCCAAAACTAAAAATAAGAGTACTAGCCACGCATAGCGTTCAATAACATATTTATAAAATTAATTACATGAGAAAAAGAAGAAGAAAAGAAAAATAGGATTCTTCTATGTTGCTGCTTCCCGTTGATCGCTTCTCTCTGGTCCCGCTTATTTCCCAGTCTGCCTTCTAGGTCAAAGCCGCCAAACTATGTAATTCATCTCTCCTCATCCCCCTCTGCTCACGTTCCTTTTTCTCTCCAATCTTCTTGGTCCACATAGCAACCCAATAAAATAATATGGATCCTTTATTTAATTCTCCCCTCTAGCATACGTGGCCCACTTCTTCCAACACAAAATATGTAGGCCCAATTATATTAATATCTCTAAACCATCTAACATAAGTTGCATGGCCTGCTGCGTAGTATTAGGTCTAGTGGTTGAGTACTGGGTTCCCCCGTACTCTGCTATCCAGCTCAATTTTCACTCTTACTCGCGCCTCTGAAATCATCATGCACTAGAAGTAGTCTCTACAACACTTAAAAACACTAAAAACCTCATAAAGGCACCAGAATTGATCTTAATATAAAATAGGTCGAAAAGTGCATAAATGCAAGAAATTAAACGTGCGCAATCACACTAAGAAGGAAGAATGCTGACGTGAATACGACGGCAAGGGCCAAAAATAAATTCTCTCGTCGGAGATTTTTGTATCTTGTTGAAGATTCCGATTCTCTTTGAGAAGAGTTCCTCAATTTCTCCTTGCTTTGTCAATTTTAGAGTGTCTTGCTTGTTTGGTGCGGTGTCTAAGCTAGGGGTCAGTGTGTTTTCATAATTAGGGTTCGGCAATGGCCGAGGATCTGGGGGATCAGTTCCGAGCCCTGGAGATGTCGGTGAAAGAAAGTCGGGATGTGGAACTTGATAACAGCAATGTCAAATTAAGTGATGAGGAATGCCGTAGAAGTGTTCTTGGTAAAATTATTGGGGATCGCAAAGCTAATATCTTTGGGCTGAAGAGGCTAATGGGGCTGGTTTGGCAAACTTCTATGGCATTTGAAGTTAAGGAGGTAGGGGAAAATTTCTTCCAATTTATATTTGGTTGCAAGGAGGATAAAGAGAAGGTGTTAGCAGGTATTAATTGGGTGTTCGAAAATCAATATCTGGTGCTGCAAGATTGGAGAGAAGGTCTGACAGCTCTTGATCCGGGATTCAGTGAAATATCTCTATGGGTGCAAGTCCATAAGCTTCCGCTAAATTGGTTGAGCATTGAGGTGGGCAGAAAGATTGGTAGCCTGTTCAAGAAAATCAAGAATGTCATTGTAGTTAAATCTGGAGGCGTCCATGGAAGTTATCTCAGGCTATTAGTTTCACATGATGTGGCTGAGCCAATCCTCAGGTGTGCTCATATTAAGCTTGGAGACCAAAGGCTGGGGGAACATTTCTGTATGAGAAGCTTGTTAGTTGCTGCTTTTACTGTGGATTGGTAGGCCATCTGGAGAGGGCTTGCAATTCTAGAGCTAAGGATATTGAAGAAGGCAATCAGAGAGTGGGGCAGTTTGGTGAAGGTTGAAAGCCATGGAAACAGGAAGGACGGGAGGTTCCTCGCAAACCTCAACCCTATCCCAAACACATAGTAATCTGAGGCAATCAGGCGATCCATCCAACGCAATTCCTGAGGAGGAGGTGGCAGCTGATAAGTCTCCTAGTAAGGCCAGTGAAGACCATCCTATGGCTAATCTCCCAAGGGATAATATGTCAGTAGCTCTGGTGCTCAGCTCTGAAGTTAATGAATGCAATGATGTTCCTATGATTCAAGGTGAAGATCAGATTAGGAGGCATGGTAAACAACTTGTGGTGGTGGAGGACAGAGGAAGTGCCCATAAATTAGAGAATATTAAAGGAAAAGGGACAGATATAGTGGAGGAAGGTGTGAAGATAACATCGATGGAGCTCACAAAGTTAAATACTTCTACTTGGAAGAGGAAGAAGTCAACCTCTGGAAGACTGCAGAGGGCTATGAAAACTGATTCTGAGGGGAATATTCTAATGCTGGGTAAGAGAGGTAGACAATCCAATCCTCAAGCAAGTTTTCCAGTGGAGGAGCAGAGTGAGATTGTATCCCGAAAATCCAGGAAGGTAATTGATAATCAACTTCAACAGGTGGGGGTAGCCAGCCTTGAGTGGCCCCAAGGTGATAAATGAAGACAATCTTGTGGAACTGTAGAGGTCTGGGAGGACCCTCTACAGTTTCCCAGATCAAGGATTCCATAAGAATCCACCTCCCCAATTTTGTTTTTTTATTTGAGACTAGGAAGAACAAGTTCTTTACTGACACTGTTTGCAAGAAGCTTGGGTTTGCAGAGAGGAATTTCACTGTAGAACCTGTTGGTCTGATCGGGGGTTTGCTATTGTTGTGGTGTAAAGAGGTGGTGGTAGTGCAGGTTATAAACATCAATTTCTGTCTGCAAGTGGAATATAAGATGGCTACTTCTGAGACTAGTGAGTGGCTGATTCTAGTCTATGCTAGCACTGATTATCAGAGGAGGAAGTTGCAGTGGCTAGAGTTGGAAGGAAGTAAACATCTGTAGGGATCTAAATGGTGCATAGGGGGTGATTGGAATGCAATTTGTGGAGATACTGAGAAAATAGGGGGAAGAGTTGGATCTCAGAGCAGCTTTGAGGAGTTCAATAACTTCATTGCTAGGATGGGAATGCTTGAGGTGAGAATGGAGGGATATCCCTACACATGGTGCAATAATAGACAGGGGGAAGACTTTATAGAAGAGAAGCTTGATAGAGTTTTCGGTTCTTTCTCCTGGATAACTGATGATCCAAGAGCCAAAGTACAGACATATTTCAAGTGTGCCTCTGATCATTCTATGTTGTTACTGGATACTGGTACTACTCAATCTCTCTTTTTCAAAAGATTTTGCTTTGACAAGAGGTGGTTGAGTAAACCGGGTTGCCAAGAGGAGGTGGAGAAGGCTTGGGTTGGTTCTGTGGAGGGGTCTTTGATGTATGTTTTGAAAGAAATGATTAAGAAGACCAGGATGGCCCTAACAAAGTGGAATAAAGAGGCTAAATCTTTGAATGTGAGGAAGATTGCGGATCTTACACTCAAATTGGAGGAAATGAGAGCACTTGGTGGACAAAGGAACTGGGAGGAATGGGAAAAAGTCAAAAAAGAGCTGGAGGAATCACATGTGTCTGAGGAGGAGTTCTGGAAACAAAAAGCCAGAGTCACATGGCTTAAAGGTGGGGATAAGAACACTCAGTTCTTTCATGCTGTCACTATGCAAAGGAGGAAGAGGAATGCCATTTCTAGAGTGGTGGATAATATGAACAGAGTTGCAACTAGCTAGGAGCAGATTGAGGCCTGCTTTATAAACTTCTACCAAACACTCTTTACATCTGAGGGCTCTTGTGATGATGATGATATTTTGCAATTAATATCCCCTGTTATTTCTGAGGAGGTGAATTCCAGACTGATGGCTGATGTTGATGAAGCTGAGATCAAGGATGCTTTATTTGCTATGAATCCCAACAAGGCACTAGGAGAAGATGGCATGACTCCTTTGTTCTTTCAGCATTTCTGGCCCCTTATTAAAGGTGACCTCTGTGCAGCTATTGTCAAATTCTTTGATTCTGGTAAAATGATGAGAAGTTGGAATCACACTATTATAACCTTGATCCCAAAATGTGATAATCCTGAAAATGTCAACCACTACAGACCTATCAGCCTTTGCTCAGTTTTTTATAAAATTATTGTAAAGATCATTGCTGCTAGGATGAAAGAGTGCCTTAATCTTTGTATAAGTGATACTCAATCAGCTTTTATACCAGATAGACAGATTTTGGATAATGTGGTAGTTGCTCATGAAGTTATACATTATCTGAATAGACATAGGGTGGGGAAGAAGAGCTTTATGGCTGTGAAACTTGATATGATGAAGGCTTATGACTGTGTTGAGTGGAACTGTTTAATCAAATTGATGAGGAAGATGGGTTTTAGTCCTGTGTTTGTGAGATGGGTATTTGCTTGTATTTCATCATCTGTTTTCTCTTTAAACATCAATGGCAAAGTGAATGGGTTTATTGTTCCTTCTAGAGGTCTCAGACAAGGAGATCCACTGTCTCCCTATCTTTTTCTGCTGGTTTCTGAGATTTTTGCACAAATGATTGGGAATGCTGTCAGGATTGGTGATCTGTAGGGCTTGAAACTTACTAAGGGTGGGACAGTTCTGTCTCATCTCATGTTTGCAGATGATACTCTACTGTTCTGTGCAGCTGACTCCCATAATGCTATGACTATGCTCAGGATATTAGCATCTTACCAGAGATTTACAGGGCAGAAGGTAAATTTAGCCAAATCTTCAGTCTTCTTTAGTAGAAATGCTTCTGTGGGACTCAAGGCTGAAATTTGTCAGTGTTTACAAGGAATTGAGGTATGTCACTCCTCTAGATACCTCGGCCTTCCTTTAGGCATTGGTAAAAGTAAGAAAGAAGTGTTTGAGTATGTTACTACTGCTGTGAAGAAAAAGATTGTTAGCTGGAAAAACAGGTTTTTATCCTTTGCGGGTAAGGAGGTTTTATTGAAGGCTGTGATCTCTGCCTTGCCTATTTTTGTGATGTCTTACTTTTTTTTTGCCTGCTGGGGTGTGCAAGGAAATTGCTAAGCTATGTGCTAACTTCTGGTGGTCTATTGGCAAGGAGCAGCAGGAAGGAGTGCACTGGCTTGCTTGGCAGAAGGCTACTACTCCTAAATATGCAGGGGGACTTGGGTTCAAAGATCTCAGGGTGTTTAATGATTCTCTTATATTGAAGCAGATCTGGAGATTGCTGACCAAGCCTAACACCCTTATGTCTAGAATCTTGAAAGAGAAGTATTTTCCTAATGATTGTGTTCTGAATGCTAAAAAGAAAACTTCTGCATCTTGGCTCTGGAATTCCTAGGTTAATGTGATGAATATTCATAAGACAAGTTTCAGGAAGCTGGTCAGTGATGGGGCTAACACCAAAATATTCTCTGACCTTTGGGTGGGGGGATGCAGTTCAGGTATTCCTAGTCTCAATCTGAATATTGATCAGTCACAGGTGACTTGGGTGGGGGAGCTTATATCTGAATCTGGAAGGTCTTGGAACAGTACTTTGCTGCATCATTTGTTTATCCCAGCTTCTTGTGCAGCTATTTTAAAAATGAAGTGTCTGAATCCTGAGGTAAGAGATAGGTGGATTTGGTGTCCTGATGTTAAGGGGCATTTCTCTGTGGCTTCGGCTTATGATGTTGCTATTGATCAGAAGATTCAGAAGTTAGATTCTCCTAGTTGTAGCTATAATCTGAAATTGGACAAGAAGGCTAGAATGAGGTGCTGGTCATTGAAAGTAAAGCCTAAGCTGAGGCACTTTCTGTGGAAGTGCTTTACTAATAATTTACCAGTAGCTCTTAATCTGTTGCAGAGGAGAGTGGAAGTGGATCCTATGTGTTGTTGCTGTGGGGAGGCTGTGGAGTCTGTTGCTCATATAAATGCAGAAGGGCTCAAATGGTTTGGAGGGCATCTCCCTTGTCTTGGGATTTTTCTAAAGATACAATTTCAGGCTTTAAAGGTTGGTGGTGGCAAATTGCAGAAATGAAGCTGACACCAGTCTCAGAAGCTCGCATCTCTTTGTCAACTTACATCTTGTGGTGGCTTTGGAAGTCCCGAAACTTGTGGGTCTTCCGAAATGCATGGATTCCAGAGGAGATTGTAGCCAAGATAGCTCACAGAGAGTGGACTGAGGCTGCTTGCTGTTTTTGAGGATCTCTCTTGTTTTTCGTCTGTCTTTTCTGTTGTTAGTTGTCCTATCCATAGCTAGGTCCTTATGGTTCAGTGGCTTGGATGTAGTTGTTGTTGTTTGTTTTTTCTGGTTTGAGGGCTCAGGTTTCCATAACCTCGGTTATGCCTGTTGTTCTTTTATGTGTTGTTCTAGGCCACCGGTCAGGTGTGGTTCTCTGGTTTGTAAAATGGCTAGTTAGCCATTCGGTTGTAGACTCCTTTTATTGAGTATTGGTAATAATATCGTTTGGAAAAAAATAAACGTGCACAATCACAATATTAGACAACTAATGCAAGCACGTTTCTCGACTAATCAACAATAATGGCATAAGCTGGCCAATCGTTCATATTTGAAATGCACTTCAATTTTTGGTGCCCAATTTAAATGTTTGTACATCTGAGAATAGGTATGTTGATGTCCAAAGCCACCAGACTTCTGACACACTTCCCAACTAAACAACCCCCCCCCCC